TCAGCTCTAAAACACTGTTCTCTTGCTTGTCACTATTTCCCTGCTACATTCCCAGCAGTTCAGATCCCGGCTTTTCCTGTCGACATGTCAGAGTGTTGCTGAGCAAGACGCTCCACGTCTTGCACGACAGCTCCGCCGCCATCGGTGTGTGAATAAATGAGTGAACGAGAGGCAAATTGTCAAGTATTTTGTGTAAGATAGACTGATGTGGACACAGTTGGGTTGTTTGTTGAAGTCTAATTAGAGTTTCACTATCTTCCTGTTACGTCCACTGGGCCAGTCTAAAACGTCCCTATGTGTACAAGTACACACTGGCATTCCTCAGGTTTTAGTAAGAACACAACATTTCACTTGAAGTTTAGCACCAAGAAACTCAATAGCTTAACATAAAAGGACACACTGTTATATAATAATCAACTTGTACTTGACCAGTTACTGGACTTTCTGACATAAATGCCCCAAAAAATTCCAGCTATGCAGTAATCCTCCTCATGACCCCTCTTTAATACGGTGACAGGGTATTGGGTTTTTGTCTAATACTGTAAGAGCCACGTAGGCCCCAGATATGCACCGAGGGACTGGAGGATGGTGTTTTCATTGTCATGAATCAAATCCAGAATGAGTAAATCAGACATTGTGTTTATTTCATCTTCTGCATTGAAACCCGCTGACTGCTCCTCCACCCCTCTCTGGAACAGTTTACACTTGTTTTGTGGTTTCAGTTTTATACGTGGGGACCTTAGGTTTGCTCAGATGTGGCGGAGGGAGGGGGCAGGGCGGTGTGTGATGCACATGTGTCCAATTTAACTACTATGGAGGTGAAACAACATTAAGCGGGAGGCCTGAGTCATGCCACCGCTGCCACCGAGGCCTCAGCATTAGAAACAGCTGCAACCTGCTCGTGTCTGCTCCGCAGGGCCCCGAATCATTCACCTGTAGAGGTTTCAGGTGGACGTGTTGGGTTCCTTATTCACCAAACCTTTGTTTGACATGTTGGATATTCATAGGTTTATATGGAACATGTGAAGCAACTCTTCCAGGAAGCTACAAATAACATTAAGTAGGGCTGCACCATTATAGCAAACATCATAATCACCATTATTTTGTTGGGTATTGAGATCACAGTTATTTAACACAATCACTCATTGACTGAAAACATCACACATTTATTGAACTTCAAGCAAAACCTCTTAACAGGGGGTTTTCTGGAACTTAAATATGATTCAACTGAAAAACAGATTTAGTATTTCATCTACCTAATTGTGATCGACAGTTCAGAGGAAATTACTGAAGGCTTTATATTTATTTTACAAATTAAACTTACACAGCAAGAATATTTAAAATAAATAATGCACAGAGGTAATTAAGCTCCTTGTCTTGCTCCTGCCTACTGATGTATCCATCTGTTACCCAGAGCATGCTGATAGGTCCAATGTCCCCACCTGGCTTTCTCACCTTCTTCTCAATATATTCACATTCTTCTACGGCCTAATGTTTCTCTCTCTCTGCTGTCCTGCACATGATAGGACTATTTCTTTGCCAGCCTTCCCTGTCCGTGCACCATCCTGCCTGCTTGCCATCTGTGTTTGTCTCCCAGGAGTCTTTTCATAACTATCTCTTAACAAGGAAGTGTATATTACATTACACATGGGGGGTGTGGGGTGTTGAGGCTCTGAGAAACATGAAGTGAAAATGAAGAGAGGAGCAGAATCATGATGAATCAAAACCCTCTGCATGCGCCATGATAAAGTCTCACCAAACAGAGAATGTTCCTCATAAATACATGTTGGAGAAACGTGTGCACGGCCCTTCCCTGCCCAAAGGAGAACATGAGTGAGCTCTGCAAGGCGTTATGTGGTGGTGTTTATAGATTGCATCTTGGGCCACGGGTTTCAGCCTGCATCCAGATGTAATGATATTAATGTTCCAGGTCAAGATTTCCAGTCTAGCGCTGCTCAGATGCAGTTGACGGTCATAATGATGATGTGCACCAGGAGGAGCACGTTTTACTGTAATGGCAACAAGTGGCTGTTGATAAATCTGCAGATTGTTTGGTCTATGAAATATTGGGAAATAAGGAAAAGTGGCATCATATTTTTTTTGATCATCTTCCGATGACTTTTTTTATCAGACAAATGGTGAAAATCCAAAAATATTACATATACTTAAAAAAAGAAAAGCAGCTACTTCTCATAAATGTGACTCTGTAACAGCTGACTGGCATTTTTTTTTCCCAGTGCACCTGCACGAGGGTGCACACATACACAAAATACATCACCAGTGGTTTTCCACTTTTCCATTAGTCTACAGGTGGTGATAATGCAGCCATGTGCCAACAAAATCAGGAGGAAGAAGACTGCAGGCTAATAAAGCAGGGTTTGAACTGAAGAAGCACTAGTCCTACAGCTGTTTTGTTAGAAAGGAACTACATTTATTATCTTTGTTTGGCTTCAAGGTTTCCCACAGTGTAGTTTGGAGAGTAATACTGAATGTAAACAAAGTTTACAGGAGAACTCCTCACTGCACCTTTAACATGAGAAAGCCCAACACAGCAGGACAGCACCGCTAACATTAGCGTAAACTCTGGTATAGAGCTCTGTAGTAGCTTGAGAGGCCTGACTGGCTAAAGAGAAATTAGCGTGTGTACTTAGCAAAACATATCTCGAAAAATAATCCTTTATTATTATTATTATTTATAGGTAATGGTGCTTACACTGCTCATCCCTCCAGTAGAGCTTACAGACTTGACGAGTCAGTGCCAAGGTGAAGCTGTTCTGGTGGCACGTGGTGGCCCAGCACCTCACTGAGACATGTTGGGGTTTTTTCCCCACTTCAAGCTTAACCTGGATCTTAAAAGTTCAGATGAACAAGGGTCAAGGTGGGTTGTTCTTGGCACCTGAAATCACACTGATGAGGCCAAGTAACATCTGTCCGTTGGAAAGCTATGAAGTCTCACTGTGGTAAAGGAGGTTCCGCCTCTTTGGGAAACACTCGACGAAATCTGGAGGCTCCCTCTGGAGTCTGCTGCTTGTAAACCCTGAGCAGGCCGATAGCCTGGGGCCTCCTGGCAGAGACCACAGTAAGAGCTGAGAACTGCTCCCAGCACAGCAGAGACACAGAGGAATCCCTTCTTCTCTTTTTCCGCTGGCAGTGGTGGGAGTTTGGCAGAGTGCACACTGTCTCAGTGGGAATGCTGAAAGGTGTTCACAGGAGCTTTTAGCTAGTTTGGTCCAGACGTAAATATCTAAATGACCTATATTAAGTAGCATGAAGTTTTGTAGAGATATTTGTGTTACAAAGAGGATTAATCCTACTGACTTTAGCAATCCCCTGAATTTTCCTGTAGCGCCAACACTTTGATTTTTTTGGCTTTTAGTAGTGTACCAGCAAGTAATCTGAGACATATCTACAGGATGGATTGGCACAACATTCTGTGGAGACATTCATTGTTCCCAGATGAGAAATCTTCCAGACTTTGGTGATGTTTTGGCTCACAGAGCCTCTACCATGTCTCTAGACCCTTGTTTTTACCACTGTTGAGCAAATTTACTGAAGACAGGTTGACCCTTCCCTTCCCAGAGGGTAAGCTGTGGACTCTGTGGTAAGGACCAATTACAGCACCCATGACCTGTGAGTGTAGCTGTAACCAAGTGGATGACTCAAGGGGAAAGAGCTGCTGGAAGGGTTTTGCTACAAAGTCCTGCCATCCCTTTCTGCAACAGGCACCTGTATCGTCTGTTGCCGCCCCCACACCCAGCTGTTTCTAGCCGTTTTCTCATATGACAATGTTCCGGTCTGATTCTTCGGACAATGTCCAGAGTTGCCTTTTCACACATTTAGCACACAACAGGAGGTTGTCCATGTCAGATATATTCTCAAATTACTCCAGTTTATGTGACAATCGGCACCTGGGTAGACCAGACAGGAGGCAGGACACAAGATGATCATGCAGGCCGTTCGAAATTTGGTCTTACACAACTGTTTTTCATGTTGTTCATTGAATATGTAGGATGATTTCAGCGTCAGCCCTTAACGACAGAAGTTTCTGAATCTCGTCATCTCTCCGGTTTGATATTTTTGGTGTTGGTGTCTCCATGTAGACGACCCTTCTTCACTGTCAGATGTTTGTATTTTAAAGGTTTCACACTAGTTGCATGAAGAAATGTCATCAACATGCCCACGAGCTTTGTGTGAATACTCTGGACAGTAACTTGCTCTATTTGCAAATATGGACTCAGTTGGACATTACTCGTGTAAAGACCTTGTAATATCTGGCCAGACGTTATCACTTTCAGCTCCTCTGGGTTGTGTCTAGACAAGTTCAGGGCTGCAGTGCATCTGAAAAGGGCTTCTGATTCCCTTCCCTGCTCTTAGGTTCTCGTTCCTGCGTGTGTCTTCATTGTTATTCTCATTATGTAGACAAATAAATACTAGTGTGCTCAGGGTCTCTGTTATGATATCTTTATCACGTGTGTACATGTAGAAGATGTAGATGTAAACACTGCCTTTTATCAAACCCTTAATGCAGCACTGGCCAGCTAGTCAAGGAGATTTTAGAGGTTTGTTTGACAGTGGTCATTTGTTATTGTAGAGAGTAAACGAACTCACCCAGTGCATGTTTGTACAAAAACCAGAATCGGGGGCTTCCTCTCATTTGCTCCATTTTCATCCCGTCTCTTTGGCTGTTATTCGTTTCTCTTTCATCTACTCCCAACAACACACCCACCCTCTTCCCTCTGTTGACCTTTCCTTCAAGAAATCTCTTTAAGCAAACTTCTCTTTTTTATCTTACAGCATAGCTTCTTGCTCATAAACACTCTCCCTCCCTGTTTTTCACCACGGCTGTAGATAAACACAGACAGCGACTTCAGTCTTGGTGTCTATATTATGCTTTTACATCTTTGCCAAAAAAAGGTGGGCTGTGGAGCTGGTTGGGTGGCAGCTTTGGTGATTTAGTGATTAGGAGAGATGTCAAGTTGATTTGTGTGTTATTGTTTCAGATGACAAACCCGTCCAGGAGGAAGACTGGGTGGTGTGTCAGCACCCGGAGTGTCCTGACCGCCGAAGGGCCTCTAAGGTAAGAACCGTAAACGTGAAGGAAGGTCTGCACAGGGACTGAGTTCACTGCCAAGAGCGAGAGTCAGCAACCACTCTTAAAATTTATTAAACCAGATTTTCTGGAGCCCAGATAGTGCTTTTGAAGTCTCACTTAAAGGAGTAGTTTAACGTGCATTTATTTATTCTCTTGTCAAGAATTACTTGAGGAGAAAAATCTGCTTAACACCACACTTAAGCTCATTAATTAACACGTATCTCATTTTGCTTAATTCATACATATACCAGAGCCTTCGCTGTTTCCGCCGCTAATTTACCCATCTAATGGCAGCAGTGTCGTATCTTAGAAGAAGGTAGGAGAGTGATGTTAATCCTCTCAACTAACTTTAAGGGAGTGTTTCCAAAATGTCCCACTGTTCCTTTAAAATGACAGTTTCCTGGAAAGCTGTTTTTCCTGAGAGACACCTGTCACACAGACCCCAAATATTCCCTCAGGACAGCTTTGGCAGCTCAGTTTGCATTTATTGCAAAACAGGTTTTATATGTCATGCGTGACATTAAGGGGGTGCTTTTTGTAAGTTCTTTGGGCATTTTATGCTTTTTTTAGTGGACAGCTGTGGGCAGAGAGAGAGAGAGAGGTGGGGAACTGCTCTATACAAAGAAGGCTCTTGGCTGGTCTCAAAGCAGGGATGATGCAGTTAAAAATGACACTGCAAGTGATTTTGGCAAATGCCACGAGCAATGGAGAAAATATTGTAATGTTGTTAGACATAATCTGCAGGAGGATGAGGTCGGTGTGGAGACATGAGTTAACAAAAACTCAGACTTTGACATGAGAGACTGGTGTTTGCATCCTGTTTCCTGCCAACAGTGAAGGTTGACCCCTAACATTAACACAGTAGTAATTTTAACCAACACAGGATTTCCCTGACTTCAGCAAGTTCTTATTTTAACCCAAACCAGTCACACTGAGCTTTTCCTAACCCTAAATCTAACCAGTCTAACCTTAAAATGTTCTTTTTGCGGCAGCAGTTTGTAACAAATGATGCCATCCTGTCGATCAGAATGTCAGATGTATCATTCTGAGGACATCACAAGCAAAGCAGCAATTTGGACGATTTGCTTTACTGTTACGTGGCCACTGTGTGACACTCCTGCTCTAAGCCACCAGGACACCTTAAAAAGTACTTCACTTAGAAGTACCATCACTTAGACCGGAGCTGGAAGTGAAAGAGCTTTAAATGAAGATGCAGACACACCGACTGTGCTTTAGTCTTGTTGTATGTAGCCACAGGTGACGGCATCGCTCGTGTTGTAATACGACACAGGGAAGGTGAAGCAGAGCGGCGAAGCTGCTCTTCTTCTTCTAGGCGTTAAAGGGCTGTGAGTGTTGGGGCTGTGTGTCTGGCCACTAGGCTGTGAAACAAATTATTCCTTCGAAGCCACCGGTTTTTGAAAATGGGAGTCTGGCCAGAAGGCGAAGGGAAACTGACAGTGTTTGGTCTGTCAGCCTGGTTGTTTTGGTTGGTCTCCCTCCTGCCACTGGAGCTGGATGTCAGACAGATTTTCCCCTTGAGTCGAGATGGTGCCTGCTCTGCGGAAACAACGGAAAGGCAAAATAACAGAGAAAAAAAAGATGGTGAATTTAGACAGCACCTGGAGAGCCAGATGGTTATATATAGTTTTTCTCCATGGCAACTGGGAACAATAAAGTGGGGGATGAAGAGAGAGCCAAAGAGCTTAACCTGAATGATCCTGACTGCTTGTTCCTCTGCTGCTCACATTACTGAGTCTTTCAACCCCACTTTTCCTGAAAGACGAAAACACTTGAAAGTATATGGTCCCTCTCACAAAGTCGAGTTTAAGAAACACATTTTAAAGTGTGTGTGTCTTTGCACTTGTGTGTATTTGGCCTGCTGCAGCACAGAGGGGAGGCGGCGTGGGATGAGGCTCGTTTGACGCCACCTGTCTCCCAGGCTCAGG